CATCATCATCATCATCATCATCATCATCATCATCATCATCATCATCATCATCATCATCATCATCATCATCATCATGCTCTTCCTCTACTCCTCTCTCTTCTCTTCCTTTCCTCCTCCTCCTCCTCCTATTCCTTCTCTCCCTCCTCCTCCTCCTCCTCCTCCTCCTCCTCGTCCTTCTCTCCCTCCTCCTCCTCCTCCTCTTCCTCCTCCTCTTCCTCCTCCTCTTCTTCCTCCTCCTCCTCCTCCACCTCCTCCTCCTCCTCTCGCCCTTCCTCCCTCCCTCCCTCCCTCCCCTCCCTCCTTGCCTCCCTCCCTCACTCCCTCCCTCGTCCTCCTCCTGCTCCTCCTCGCTCCTCCTTTTCCTCTCCTCCTACTTCTCTCTCCTCCTGCACCTCCCTCTCCTCCTCCTCCTCCTCCCCCTCCTGCCTCCCCTCCTCCTCCCCTTCCTCCACACATTATTCTCCTTGTCCTTCTCCTCCACCTCCTCCTCCTCCTCTCCTGGCGTTCCAATCACTTGCCTTCCCTCAGTGGCAACGTGTTCCTTTCAGCGATGCCTTGCAATGCCGCAGGCGACGTTCACAAGGGAATTCAAGAAAACTACTGCCACACACCACCTTCTCAGCCCCTGCGAGCACTCAGGCAACTGCAAGCGATGCTACAGTACGGGCCGGCGGAGTGTGCGAAGCGATCCGCCGCCCCACCGGGTACGACGCGTAAGATCCCCGCCGCACGGTCTGCAAGAATTCTTTCCCGTCAGTCCCCTTGCCCACGCACTCCTCGTACCCAATGTCCTTCGTCCGAACCCTCGCAACCCCTCCCTCCTAGGTCCTCCCCGCGGCTTGCTCATTCCGCCGGCCCAGGGGTCCCTGCTGCGCCATGGGCGTCCGCTGGCCGCCAGTTTGCCCTCGATTCAAATAGGTCTTCGCCCGGGAAACTTCCAGACGCCTCCGGGCGCCGTTTGGGACCTCCCTGGAGGGCCTCCTGGATCTGGCCCATGCTTGGGGCCATCCTGGACCGTCTCGGACCCAGAAGCTAAACATAGTCAAACACCCATGGGGGTTCGACGATGTTCACCGCTTCGGGCTTCCCTGTGCGCCTCTTGGAGCTCTCTTGGAGCCTCTTCTGGCACTCTTGGGGCCTCTCCAGCCATGCACGGCACACGGCTGTCCTCACGGCTTCTTCGGGGCGTCTCGGCTCGTCTGGCTGCCCTCTTTCGGCGCTCTCTTGGGGGCCGTCTTGGGCGCGCCCGGGGGGGGCCCTGGATGGCCTTCAGAGGCCCCAAAACTGTAACTGGCGCTGCTTCTTTTTACCTCTTCGTATCCCTCTTCGGTTTCGTCCGTCGTTTTCGGCACCTTCGGGTGTTGCTCAGGGCCGTTTTCGGAGCCTCTTGGAGCCCTGGGGGGTCCTCTGTGGGGACCCCCATTGGGCACTTCTTCGCATCAAGTTGGGCCTTCTCTGTGGTCCGTGGGATCATAGACTGAGCCGGCGGCCGAAGGCGAAGCCCTTACGGATTTCATGACGGAGATGTATACCATAGAGGGTCTGCAGGGGGGGGTCTCTCAGCGCGGCCGCTATACACGACTCTGTCGCAAAGCCTAGCAGGCGTGGCACTTTCTGGACACCATAAAGGGGGTGCGCAGGGGGTGGTCTCTCAGTGCGGCCGCTATCCACGACACTGTCGCGAAACCTAGCAGGCGTGGCACTTTCTGGACACCGTAGGGGGGTGCGCAGGGGGTGGTCTCTCAGCGTGGCCGCTATCCACGACACTGTCGCAAAGCCTAGCAGGCGTGGCACCTTCAGCACACCATAGGGGGTGCGCAGGGGGTGGTCTCCAAAAGCGGCCGCTATCCACGACACTGTCGCAAAACCTAGCAGGCGTGGCACTTTCTGGACACCATAGGGGGTGCGCAGGGGGTGGTCTCTCAGCGCGGACGCAATCCACGACACTGTCGCAAAGCCTAGCAGGCGTGCGACGCCGACGTCCGACGCAAGAAACCAAACCGGCTATCTCGATCCCGTCCCCAGGCCACCGAGGCCGCCACGCCGGGCAGTCTCCTGCCACTTCTGGACACGGGCGAGCCCCCCCCTGTGCCAATGCTGAGCCCCTGCTGCGCCCTCCGCTGCTGACGTCCTCCGGGTCCACCAGCACTGCCCTCACACGGTCTCTGGATTCTGGAGGAGGGGAGGGGTAGGGGAAGGAGGAGAAAGAGGAGGAGGAGGAGGAGGAGGAGGAGGAGGAGGATGGTGGGAGGATGAGGGAGGGGATGGAAAGGCAGGAGGAGGAGGAGGAGGAGGATGAGGAGGGGAGGAGGAAGGGGGAGGGGGAGGAGAGGAGGAGGAGGAGTGAGAGGAGGAGGGGAGGCGGAGGAGGAGAAGTGAGGAGGGGGAGGGGGTAGGAGAGGAGGAAGAGGAAGAGGGGATTAGGAGGAGGGAGGAGGAGGAGAGAGGCGGGAGGAGGAGGAGGAGGAGGAGGAGGAGGAGGAGGGAGGGGAGGAAGGAGAGGAGGAGGAGGTAGGAGGAGGGGAGAGGAGGAAGGAGGAGAGGGAGGAGGAGGAGGATGAGGAGGAGGAGGAGGAAGTGGTGGGGCGGCGGTGTCTGCCCCGTCAGGGGCGTTCGCTGGACTGGAAGGAGAGAGTGCTCTTCTGGCCACGACAACAAGCCTCCGCCACGGACATGCCCCCCGGCCCAGATCTCCGCACGGACGTGCTCCCCGGCCCAGACCTCCGGAGCAGCCCGGGGGCCGGAGCCCGTCCTGAGCCCCAGAGTGGTCCTCCTCCTCCCCTCCCCCCCTCTCCCTCCTCCTCCTCCTCCTCCTCCTCCTCCTCCTTCTCCTCCTCCTCCTCGCCTCGGCGCCCTGCCTGCGGGAGGCAGGGGCGAGGGGGAGGCGGGCCAGGGGGGTCCTGCAGGCACTGGAGCTCGTGGGAGAGGCTGGCGTCCGTCTGCCGCTGCGCGCCGAGGTGCTGCCAGTCGATGGTGTACTCGGTCAGCTGCAGGTTCAGGGCCCTCCGTGATGAGCCTGTTTTCCACCACCACCACCACCATAAATAGGAGGGGGGAATGAGGAGGAGGAGGAGGAGGAGGAAGAGGAGGAGGAGGGGGAGGAGGAGCAGGAGGAGGACGACGAAGAGGAGGAGTAGGAGGAGGAGGAAGAGGAGGAGGAGGACCCCCCCCTCCAACTTATGGTGGTGGTGGCGGCGGAAAACGCGCCTATCACTCCGGGCCGATTCGGTTGCTGCACGTTCCCCTGTTTCTGTCGGTGGATGGTCGTTCTGCCTCTCTTTCGCTCTCTCTCTCTCTCTCCTTCTTTCTCTGCCTCTTCTGCACACATCTCTCTCTCTCTATTTCTCTTTTTTTCTCTCTCGCTCTCTCTCTCTTTCCGTCGACCTCTCTCGCCTCTCTGTCGATCAGGACGTAGGTTGTTTGGCATACTCTCTGTTGTCTGTTCTGCGTAATTCACGTTTTATCCATGCTTCTCGTCATTCCTTCTACCTCTCCGCTGAGTGGGAGGGGGTAGCGGTTGCTTTCTCTCTCTCTCTCTCTGTTTTCTCGCTCTCTCTCTCTCTCTCTCTCTCACGCTCTGCATACACACAGGAGATGGGGGGAGATGGTGAGGGCAGTGGTTGTTATCTCCCTCTTCTCTCTCACTCTCACTCTCCGAACGACACATAGTAGGCAATGGGAGGGGGCATCATTTACCCCTCAAACCCTCCACGCACAACGCAGAGGAGAACATCGGAGGGTGGGGGTGCTCTGTCTCTTCTATGTTGTTGTTGCCTCTCTCTCTCTCTCTCTCTCCCTCCCGTTCTCCACACACAACACAGCGAGCGAGCTGGAAGGGGGACGTGGCTTTTCTCCTGTGGGAGGGGGGACGTAGCTGCTCTCCCACACTCAACGGGAAAACAACACTGAGACAAGTAGGAGGGGGAAGCGGTGGCCCTCTCGAACTCTGCACGCGCAAGATGGATGGGGGGAAATGGTGGGAGCAGTGGCTGGTCTCCCTCACTCTCCATGATGGGCCTATTTTCCACCACCACCACCACCGAAAGTTGGGGGGGGAGGGGGTCCTCCTCCCCCTCGTCCACCACCTCCTCCTCCTCCTCCTCTCCTCCTCCTCCTCCTCCTCCTCCTCCTCCTCCTCCTCCTCCTCCTCCTCCTCTCCGTCCTTCTCTTCCTCCTCCTCCTCCTCCTCCTCCTCCTCCATCTCCTTCCCCCTCCATCTTACGGTGGTGGTTGTGGAAAACCCATGACTCCGCTCGCACGCGACACAGAGTGGGCAATGGGAGCGAGCACCGGTTACCCTCGCCTCACAGCCTCCACGCGCACGCGCATAGGGGGAAATCCGCCCGCACCCTGCTGTAGGCCGAAGTCTGCTGCTCCCTGCACCAGTTGCAGTTTCAAGTCTCCAGTGTTACAGTCCTGCTTTCTGCTTCCTACTGTAAAATGTTGAAGGCCGCGCGAGGGGGAGAGCCCCAAACCGCCAAATGTACCACGCCAGGATCGCATTGCCCGAATCCCCGGGGGGGCGAGGGACACGTACAACTACGTGAGACTCGCGCCCCCGAGGCCACAATCCCTAATAAATTACGCGATGCTCCCCAAGACCACAATGCAGGCATCTTGGGCCATCTCTGAGCTCATTGGGGCTATCAAGGCCAGTGTGCAAGCCCTGCAGGGCCATCTCGGAGCCATCAGAGGCCGCATCGAGCCGTCTGGGATCGCTGGAGGCCCTGGCTGCGTGGACGATTTCGTCCACGAAGCGGCGGAGCATACGAGAACCTGGTCTTTTGGAGGCCTCTTGGGCCATCTCTGAGCCCCCTTGGGGCCATCAAGGCCCGTGGGCAAGCCCTGCAGGGTCATCTCGGAGCCATCAGAGGCCGCATCGAGCCGTCTGGGATCGCTGGAGGCCCTGGCTGTATGGACGATAAAGTCCACGAAGCGGCGGAGCAATCGAGAACCCGGTCTTTTGGAGGCCTCTTGGGCCATCTCTGAGCTCCTTGGGGCCATCAAGGCCCGTGTGCGCAAGCCCTCCAGGGCCATCTCGGAGCCATCAGAGGCCGCATCGAGCCGTCTGGGATCGCTGGAGGCCCTGGCTGTATGGACGATAAAGTCCACGAAGCGGCGGAGCAATCGAGAACCCGGTCTTTTGGAGGCCTCTTGGGCCATCTCTGAGCCCCCTTGGGGCCATCAGAGCCCGTGGGCAAGCCCTGCAGGGTCATCTCGGAGCCATCAGAGGCCGCATCGAGCCGTCTGGGATCGCTGGAGGCCCTGGCTGTATGGACGATAAAGTCCACGCAGCGGCGGAGCATACGAGAACCTGGTCTTGGGGCCATCAAGGAGCGTGTGCGTAAACCTCCAGGGCCATCTCGGAGCCATCAGAGGCCGCATCGAGCCGTCTGGGATCGCTGCCTTGGCTGCGTGGACGATTCGTCCATGCAGCGGCGGAGCCTGCGAAAACCTTCGGTTTCGGACGCATCTTGGGCAAACTATGAGCCCCCTTGGGGCTATCAAGGCCCGTGTATCAAGGCAATCACGGAGCCATGAGGGGCCGCATCGAGCCGTCTGGGATCGCTGGTGGCCCGCGCTGCGTGGACGACTCCGCCCTCGAAGCGGCGGAGCCTGCGAGAATTGGGGCTTTGGGAAGCATCTTGCGCTGTTCCTGCACTCGGTCTCCATCCCGTAGCGCCATTGCAGCGGCAAGCTGGTGGGGCTTGTCGCTGGCAGCTGGTGCCCCCTCCCCCCCCAAAAAGGACCCCACCAGATCTGTGACCCCAGGGGCATCCTGTTTGGACACCCGAAATGGGGACGGAAAACATGGGCACACTGCCCAACCACAAATGCTGTCCCAAAGCAACAGCGGCCGCCGCTGGGCAGGCGGCTTTTTGTGTCTCGGACGGACACGGGCCGCGGCGGCGCAGACAGCGAGTCCTCTTCAAAATGATCCGTAACTGCTGTTGGACATTGCACCCATTCTTTCCGCACCCAGTTCGTGCGTGCCGATCCTGGATGCCCCTGCACAAAGGCTCCCCAGGGCACCCCTGGGCTCCCGGAAGCCCCTGCTGGGCCTGTAGGCACCGGACCCCCATCGGTCAACGGAGAGGGCGGCCGAACGGCCCTGAACGGCCCCACCGGGGGCCCAAGAGGCGGTCGGGCGTGTCCCCCTGCAGGCAGACCTTGGACGAACAATGAAAAAGATCAAAACATGCTCAAACATAATCAAAAAAACTTGGGCGAAAAACTGAAAAATAATAAACAAAAAAAATGGTTTAAAAAATGGTCCCCCGACTATTTTTTACTATTTTTGAACATTCCCCCTGTAGAGGGACAGGCCAGAATTGAAAGTAGCCCCGAGACAATTTCCCGGAGCCCAAGAGTGGCTCTCCAGGGAGGGGCCTCCGCAAACAGAGCCAAGGAGGATGGGGACAAGTTCGCAAGGGGGGCGGGCGAGAACGAGGCAGAGGGGAAGGACACACGAGGGAAGCATAGTACATACCATTACTATGACGACGATGTCGGAACAAAAACAAGGAGGAGTTATCGCTAAACTTGCAGTTTCACCTTACTGCCCTTCCGCCTGGACGCCAAACATTAAGGACCAAGGTGCATGGCGCGAAGCGCCTGTGCCAAAACGGGCGTCGGGCGCCTGCGGCCTGTACCACTGGGGCCTTCGGTGGAGCTCCCTTTGGGGCCACGAGCCGTGTGAGAGGTGTGCCAAAATGGGCGTCGGGCGCATGCGGCCTGTGCCACTGGGGCCACTGTGGCCTTCGGTGGAGCTCCCTGTGGGGCCACGATCCGCGTGAGGGGTGTGCCGAAATGGTGGACATGCGGAAAGCATAGGCAAGGCATGGGAGGAGGGATGGGGAGCAGGAGGAGGAGGAGGAGGAGGAGGAGGCGGAAGAGGAGGAGCAGGAGTAAGGACTGCGGGGCGCTGTCTGTTCAAAACGAGGACCCAACACCACAGGATGGTTGGTAGCAGAGACGAGTTGCCGCTAAACTTGCAGTTTTACCTCCTTCCGACGCCGAACATTTAGGACCAAGGTGCATGGAGCGACACGCCTTTGCAGTCGTGTACCTGTATGTGTAGATGTATGTTCATATATAGACGTGAAAGCGTAACTCCACATATATATATATATATATATATATATACATATATACAAATAGAGTATACACATCCATGCGCACGTAAACATAGATGTATGCATACCTAATTGAATACATCAATGAATGAACACATGCTTAAACACGTGAGATAGACACATGAACATGCACATTTAAACGTAAACACATAAGTCAAGAACGAAGTACACAGCATACATCCGTTTGCCTGTCTTCATCTCTCCATCTGCCTGGACCTCCAGGGCTCCTGCGAGCTGCCTGGGAGAGCGCCCAGAGCGACTCTGCTGGGCCAAGCTGCGCTTCCGCGGGCGCCCCACGGGCCTCAGGACAAAAACCGCTCCCAAAGCGGGACTGGGCGCCCGGGCACGCGCGCGGCACCCCTTTACAGTTGTCTCTAGCGGTCTCCTCCCCCTCCTCCTCCTCCTCCTCCTCCTCCTTCCTCCTCCTCCTCCTAATCCTCCTCCTCCTCCTCCTCCTCCTCCTCCCCCTCCTCCTCCCTCCTCCCCTCCCCCCCCCCCTCCTCCTCCTCCTCCTCCTCCTCCTCCTCCTCCTCCTCCTCCTCCTCCTCCTCCTCCTCTCCTCCTCCTCCTCCTCCTCCTCCTCCGCCTCCTCCTCCCTCCTCCTACCTCCGCCTCCTCCTCCCCTCCTCCTCCTCCTCCTCCTCCTCCCTCCTCATCCTCCCTCCTCCTCCTCCTCCTCCTCCTCCCCTCTCTCCTCCCTCCTCCTCCTCCTCTCCTCCTCCCCTCCTCCTCCTCCTCCACCTCCTACCCCTCCTCCTCTTCCTCCTCCTCCTCCTCCTCCTCCTCCTCCTCCTCTGGCAACGACGAGGCTGGTTCGTAGTGGCTGTGCTCGGGGAGGGACGGTCTCGGGCTGCGGCGGGGCCGTAGGCCGAACGAGCTGCAAGGATAAAGCATCGACCTCCTCGCCGGCACGGGGTCGGTCGAGAGCGCTGCAGGCATGGAGAGATCATCCGAGGTCTTTCTCCATCGTTCGGGCGGTCTCCCAGGCAACACGCGTGCACGCGAAGAGAATTCGGGCGGTGCGAGGGCAGGAGCCACAACCCGGCAGCCCCCCCTCGCCGCGCATAAAAAACAGGCAGGGGCACCCGCCAGCAACTGAGACCCCCCTGAGCTCCGCCTGCGCGCTGAGGATGCATGAGCTCTGCTGGCTGATCGAGGTGCGCACGTGCTGCGGATGCCCCCGAGGGGGGTTCTCAGTTGCCGGCCGAGGCCCGTCTTCTGCGGCGACCCCGGTGGGGTCTCTTCGTGGAGGCCGCTGGAAGCGACGAGCGCCTCCGCCGCCCAGGCCGCGGCGAGTCCGCTGGCGGCATGTAAAAAACAAACCTGTCTGCACCAGCGCCCAGGCGCCTCAACAGGGAGTGGTAAGCTTTGGACGCCCGAAATGGGTACCGAAAAAATGGGTACCATGCCCAACAGCAAATGTTGTCCCAAACCAACAGCGGCCGCTGTTGGGCAGGCGGCCTCCTGTCTCGAATGGACACAGGCCGCGGCGGCGTGGACAGCGAGCCCTGTTCAAAATTAACAAGATCCGCTGTTGGGCATTGTACCCATTCTTTCAGTACCCATGTCGTGCGTGCAGATAAGCTGTGATGCGGCGGCAGGGAAACTTGGCCGGCGGGCTTCGTTGGGGTTGCCGTACAGAGGAGGCCCGACCACAAGAAACCTTCCACAAGAAACCCAATCCTGAGACCCCAGGACGTCCACTGACTTTTGGTGTGGGAATGGCACGCTCTCCATCGCAAAACCATCGAAAGCCAAGAAACCCAGGGCACCCTGGAGGCAAGCAGGGTGTTTCTTGGCATGGGTCTCCACTGTACCCTTGCCCGTGGCCTCGATCTTCTACGACCCCTCCCTCCCCCCTCAGCCGCCCCCTCCTGGCCCTCTCCCTCCTCCTCCTGATCCTCCTCCTCCTCCTCCTCCTCCTCCTGATCCTCCTCCTCCTCCTCCTCCTCCTCCTCCTCCTCCTACCTCCTCCTCCTCCTCCTCCTCCTCCTCCTCATCCTCCTCCTCCTCCTCCTCCTCCTCCTCCTCCTCCTCCTCTTCTTCCTCCTCCTTCCCCCCCCTCCTCCTCCTCCTCCTCCTCCTCCTCCTCCTCCTCCTCCTCCCCTCCTGCCCCCTCCCCCCTCCCTCGCCGGAGAAAACAAAAAGGCGAGCTCCGCGTGGAGCTGCGCAGCTCCAGGGACCGCACAACGCGCAGGCCCTGCAGTGCGAACACATCGGGCCGGGCGACAGGGGGGGATAGCTCAAGGGGGGGGGGCTTGAGACTCCGCTCGCGTGGCTGACTTTCCCGGCGCCTCCCGGCGCCGGAGGCGCCCATGTATCATGGAGTGGGCTTTTCGGAGGGGCCGAGACCAGCTGCAGGCAGCAAATGTCGCACCCCCCCCCCTTCCCCAATCCCCCCCTCTTTTGTCCGGCCCGAGAACAGAGGCAGGCCACGGCTCGTGCAACATTTAGGTCGGGCGTGTCCTCCTACAGGCGCATCTTGGACGAAAAACAAAACACGGCCAACAGCTAGGCAAGCATAGTCCAAATGGTCAAAGCATCGTCCCCCGACTACGTTTTGTTTTGCAATGCTTGACGATTCCTCCTGTAGAGGGACAGGCCCGACTTCATGCAATATGCGCGAGCCGAACGCCTGGAGGGTACATCCAGCGAGCTGCACACGCGCCCTCGCGAAGATTCGCTTCGAGCTGCAGGGGCGCGCAGAGCAGCGCGCCGCGAGGGGGGGCGATAGACCAGCATCGCGCCAACGACAGCGGAGGTCGACACCAGCGCCCCGCGGAGATCCGAAGTGGACCGAGAGGCTCGTGAAAGGCTTAGCGACTTCTGCCGTCCTTCGACTCGCGCTGGAGCGGCCGCGAATGGCTCCGAATCCGACTTTCCCTGGAGATCTCTGGATCCCTGGGTGTATCTCGATGTGCCGGGCTTTGCCTCGATGTATCTGCATCTACCTGGATTTGTCTGGCTCGATCCCCACGCGTCCATCGGCGAAAAGTCGACAAGCCCCTAGGGACGAGAGGCAGCTTCTGGCCGGGCAGGATCGCCCGGAGAGAGAGAGAGGGCCAGAGTGCCTCGTCTGGGCGCGCGCTGGGCGTGCCGAGGAGCGCGCCGCCTGCAGGAAGAGCGGCCGACGTGCGGAGAGAGGAGGTGCCGCCCGAAGGAGCACTATCAGGTCGGGCGTGTCCTCCTCCTCGTCCTCCTCCTCCTCCTCCTCCTCTTCCTCGTTCTTCTCCTCCTCCTCCTCCTCCTGAGGAGGAGGAGGAGGACGAGGAGGAGGACGTGCGGCGAGGAGGCGGTGCCCGAAAGAGCACTCTCAGGTCGGGCGTGTCCTCCTACATAGGAGGCCTGGAAATTGGCACCAACACCAGCACGGGGCGGTGCCTCCACAGGGGCAGACTCATCCTCGGTTTCGGTGTTGGTGGTAAGATGTTGGCCACCTTGGAAGCCAGAAGTATTACCACCATCACCGAGATCAGGCTATTCTTCCCTCGGTGGAGGCACACCGCCGATATTGGTGTTGGTGTCAACCTCCAGGCCCGCGAGATTGTGGAAGGACATCGAGAAAAGTTTTAGAACACTCAAGCAGAGTCAAACACAGCAGGAAAAGAGCCCCCGCACGACTTTTTGGCTCTCTTTGGGCACTCCTCCCGTAGAGGGACACGCCCGACTCGAGAGCACTCGGGTATCGAGGCCCACCCGGCGCTCGCGGACCCCCGCCGAGCGGCTGCCCGGTAGGGCATGGCCCCCTCGCTGGGGGCCACCGCGGTGCACCGACATCGCCACAGCCAGCTTATACAGCGGGATGACGATTAATAAAAAATGGGAGAGAACGATTAAAGAATAGTTTTCTGCTATTTCTGCACAATTTTCTGACTGGAGGAGAACGAGTAAAAATAGTTTTCCAACCCGCGGCCGGTTTCTTCTAATCGTTATCCCAGGCGCCGCCGCGTGAACACGACCCCCGGTCATTTATTAATCGTCATCCTCCATTACAGCAAGGCCGCACGATGGCACGGATGCGAGGGCCTTGGAGAGCCATGCCGACACTCTGCGAGCGCGGCGCGGCCAGCGAACGCGGCCAAGGATGGGCAACAAGGGGAAGGATGCAGGGGCAGCCTGGGAGCGTTGCGCATCCTTGCTATGCGGTTTGACTGTACTCTCCACACCGCTCCCAGGGTGCGTTCTGACTAGAACTCCGAGGTTTAAGACGAAGCCAGGAAGAGGGGTCCAATCCGTGACGACAAGGGCTCTTCAGGACGAGCAGCGGCATCGGTACGGTATCGGTGCCTTTTTCCTAAGACGTGGCCAGGACGAGGATAACGTCGGGTGAGGATAAGTCGGGCATCTCTTGGATCTGGCGGCTCTGGACGACGTCTTGGGCGCAGCGGCCTCCTCCGAGCCTTCCGGAGCGCTCTGAGAGCGTTCCGGAGCGCTCTGGAACGGATATATCCTCGTCCCAGCCCCGTCCGACAGCTCGAGCGGTGACGATGAAGGCTCTTCAGAACGAGCAGCGGCATCGGTGCGGCACCGGTGCCTCTTCCTCCCCTGATCCTCAGGGGCGGCGCGCCGCGCCGGTGGCGAGCCTGACTACCTACCAGACCACCCCAGCCCAACCCGAAGACCCGGATCTTGGGTTCAGGCGGGTACGGGCCTCATGTGTTTTTCGACATGTTCCCCGACCCCCCGGAGGAGGAGGAGGAGGAGGAGGAGGAGGAGGAGGAGAAGGAGGAGGAGGAGGAGGAGGAGGAGGAGGAGGAGGAGGTCGGGAGGAGGAAGAGACACCCCTCCCCTGGAAATGGAAGGCAGATCGAGGCCTGCTGGGTTGGGTTGGGGTGGTTTGGTGGGCGGTGGGAGCCTGTCCAGGACGAAGGGCTGGTAGTCCGGATTGCGCACGCGCCTCGTGCGGGGGTTCTCCAACCTGCGAGGAAGAGGAGCACGGCACGTCCACCTCCTCCTCCTCCTCCTCCACTAATCCCTCCACCTCCTCCTCCTCCACCTCCTCCTCCTCCTCCGCCTCCGCCTCCGCCCCTTCCGCCTGCTTCATTCCTCCTCCGCCTCCTCCTCCTCCTCCTCCTCCTCCTCCTCCACGTGCGGGGGTCTTCCAACCTTCGAGGAGCTCCACGCGGGTTTCTCGGATCGGCGCTGAGCACCCCTCCCTGGCACGCGGAGCGAGCCAAGGCCAGGGTCGGAGGCGCCGCCATGGGGGGCCCAGCGAAGATCCCAGAAATCCGCGCTAGTCCCCGTTGGTTTTCGGGCCCTAGCGTGGGCCTCCCGCGGCCGTTCGGGACGATCCGGGCACCGCTGGAACGCTCTCGGCGAGGCGCAGCCGCTGGAAGCCGCCGAGATCCAACGAGAATGCCCGAAAATCTCAAGCCTCGAGCCCCCTCCGAAAAAGTGCATGCTTCTGCGGTTGTCTCTCCTTCGACCACCTGCTGACGTTGGCGGCCAGGCCCTGCAGCGTCGCCACGGAGATGTCGATCCCGGGCGCACCGACTGGGCGGCCCGCGCACGTCGGGCGCCCGTGCCACGCCCTCTGGAACTCGGTAGCCACCTCGCTCGAGACAAAGTCCGCCGACTCCCACTTGCCAGGGGTGAGAAAGCGTGTGATCCTCCTCCTCCTCCTCCTTCTCCTCCTGCCTTCCTCCTCCTCCTCCTCCTCCTCCTCCCCTGCCTACTCCTCCGCCTCCTCCTGCCTCCTCCTCCTTCCTCCTCCTCCGCATCTGCTCCTCCTCCTCCTCAACCTTTCCATCCCCTCCTCCTCTCTTCTCTCCTCCTCCTCCTCCTCCTTCCTCCTCCTCCTCCTCCTCCCGGCGTGCCCTCCTCCTCCTCCTCCTGCCCCTCATCCTCATCATCCTCCGCACTGCCCTCCTCCTCTCCGCCTCCTTGCTCTTCCTCCTCCTCCTCCTCCTCCTCCTCCTCCTCCTCCTCCTCCTTTCCTCCTCCTCCTCCCTCCTCCTCCTCCTCCTCCTAGGTGAGTGGCTGTCGCCCCTCCCCCTTCCCCCCTCCTGGTGGCGCAGGCACGAGGGTATACAGAGGGAGGGGGAAGGGCTTCCTAGAAGGAGGCTGCTCCTCAGAAGGCGCCGGCCGCCCTCCTGAGAAGCCAGGGGCGCGCCGCCTCTTACACCCCAACAACTTCCAAGAAGCACGGGCCAGCTCCCCAGAAACGCGGAACAACCTCTTCGAAGCAAACGAGCCACCGCTGCTTAGAACCACGCCAGGAACAGCTTCTAAGAAACATCCACCAGCTTCTTACGGGGGGGGGGGGGGGGCCTCCCCTGGGGTCCAATATCCCGCTCGAGGGGCGGGGGGGCGATGCGGGGGGGAGGGCCGGTGGGCGAGCTCGTCGTCGCACCTCCAGGGCCCTCGGAGCCTACGAATCAACAACGTGGCCGCCAAGATGCCCAAGCTGCTTTCCAACATTGCTCCAGAAGGCCTCCAAGGCAAGACGCTGGAGAGGCCTCAAGATCACCCAAGATAGCCTCAAGAAGGGCAAAGAGGGCCCCACGAGGACTCCGAAGAGTGCCTCCAGAGCCTCGACTCATTGATTTTGCTTCGGCTTCGAATGATTTCGGCGTCCTCGCCATGCGGGGCGTCGGCAGGTCCCCCAGACCCGCCCAGGACGGCCCGAAAGGCCCTCAGCAAGGGCCCAGAGACGACCTAAGGGGACCCCAGGACGGCCCAAGAGAGGGGCCCAAGAGGGGGAGCCCGCAGGGACCCAGAAACCCCCACTCACCACCGCGGGGCCCCCACAAGGTACCAAAAAGCCCTCCAGGGGGCTGGACGAGCTCCACCAGGCCGCCCCTCAGGCCTCCAAGAGGCCCCCAAGAAGCCCCGCGGCAGAAACGTAGGACAAAACAGGACGAATCAGCAACAACTATACCTGGCTCACGCAGGAGGCAAGACGGGTGGGAAACAACACACTCGCACACACACACACACACACACACACACACACACACACACACACACACACACACACACACACACACACACACACACACACACACACACACAAACAAACACACACAAACAAACACACACACACACATGAAATCGAAAGCTACACGTGTCATCCTCTAGGGGTCGGCGGAACGGCGCAAGCCTCTCGAATTGAGGAACGCGTGGCCCTTGTTCTTGCCGGAGGCGAAATCGTGGGGCATGTAGCAGAAGTCGACCCTGCCGGCGAAGCCCGAGCGGTGGACCTCCTCCAGCAGCTCGCGCTGGCCCACCTCCCGTGGCAGGCCGCGCAGCATCAGGGAAGTCACCCCCCGCTTGATCTGCCGCGCGGCTCTCCCTGCGCAAACCTGCACCACGTGATGTGGCGCCGCCGTCGCAGCCCCCGCCGCGCCCCCCGCCGCGCACCCCACCCTCGCCGCCGCCGCTGCCCCTCCCTGGGAGGCTGCAGCGCGGCCGCGGCCCTCCTCCGCGGACGCCGCCTCCTCCGCCTCGATGGCCGCCAGCGCCGCCTCGGCAGCCCGCATGGCGGACTCCAGGCTGTCGGCGCCGCTCGGCGTGGCGGCCGCGGCGCCGGCCAGCACAGTGTGGGCCGCCGGGGAGCGCTGGCCGCCAAAGGCCACGGCGGCCACCGGCAGGAGCGCCGGTGCTGCGAGGGGCGCCGGCGCGCGCAGCTCGGCCTGTGCCAGCACTGGCAGTCCGAGGGCGCCCAGCGGCGCGGCCTCGGCGTGTCCGTGCAGAGGCACCGGGGCTGGCGGAGCTGTCGGCGGCCCGCACAGGGCTGCGGCCACCGTCAGGGAGCACGCGGCCACGGTGTCCGGGGTCGTGGCAAGGACCCGTGGCGGCGCCAGGAGCGCGAGGCCCCACGCGCCTTCCGCCCCGGCCCCTGTGTCGACGGGTGCTGGGGCCACGGCGCCTCTGCGGGTGCTGCAGGGCGTCCACTCGTACTCCTCCTCGTCCTCGTCGGTGTCCGGCCACAGCTCCGGCGCGGTCTCCTCATCGAGGCCGCCCGCCTGCTCCTCGCGTCCTCTCGGGCTGCCCGGCGCCTCTGTGGCGCGGCTCTCGGGCGCTGAGGTCGAGCCGCCGTCCGAGGTGGCGGAGGTGCACGCCGCCACGCCAGGCGGGGCGCAGCGGCCGCCGCCGCCGCCGCGCCACTCCCCGAGGTCGCCGAGCGACGGCCAGAGGCCGTGGGGCGCATACCTGAGGGGGAAGGTCAGGGGGGACCGGCTCGGAGGGGGTACCATCGAGCTGCGCTCGCCGACGTACGCGCCGTGGCCTCGCGACAGCGACGCCGCGCGCTCCCGGGTGGAAGTGGGCTCGCGGGCCCCCCTCGGCGACGCGTGGGCGACTTCTTGCGGGTCGATGCACTGCCCCCCCACCCCCCTCTGCGCCTCCTTCCCGCCCCTGACGTTGCCCCTGCGCACCCCGAGTAGCTGTGGCTGCGCTTCCGTGCGCGGGGCGGCGCGCCCCAGACCTGGAAGGTGCTGGCGAGGGGCGCCAGGCGGGGCTCGGCGTAGGTCGGCGCCATCGGCCGCGGGCGGCCACTTCTCCCTGGCGGGGGCGCTGCGGGCGGGCGCTTGGGAAGGAGGAGGCGGGGGGGGTCCTGAGCACCTAGGGGGGCTCTCGAGCCCAAACGGCGTCTCAGTGGCGGGTGGGCCGCGACTGGGGCGACGACAACGACAGCGACTGCGACGACGACAACGACAACGACAACGACAACGACGACGACGACGACGACGACGACAACAACGACAACGACAACGAGAACGACCATCTTGCGAACATCGGATGTAATAAGCAACTGTGGCCTTCATGTGTTTTCCCCTCTCCCTCGCACCCGCCTGCGAAGTCATTGGACCAACCCCCTTTGGGGGGGATTCGTTTCATACCAGCTCCTGGGAGAAGGATTCGGTACTCTCTATGCGCACCACATCGCCACGGCCGCCAAACGTGCTAACGCGCCTGCGGGCCAAGGCGTCTCGGAGTAAATTGAGGAGGTATCGAGCGGGAGCCGTTGCCGTCGTAGCTGCCCATCCCCCTCCCCAACTTGAACGAATTGCGAGGAGCATTCGAGCCAGACCGCAGTTCCTGAGCTTCGGAGCTTCTCTGGCCAGGGCTTCTCGAAGTAAATCGCGCAGAATTGTCGGGCGAAAGCTGCTGTCATCGTAGCGGGGCGTTCACGAACTTGCATGAATTGTGAGGATGTCTCGAGCCAGAGCGCCGTTCCTGCGCTTCGAGGCCTCTCTGGCCAGAGCGTCTCGGAATAAATTGCAAGGAAGTGTCGAACGGGAGCCGCTGTCGCCGTCGCTGGAATTCCACGAACTCGCATAAATGCCAAGGAAGTCTCGAGCCAGAGCGTCTTTCCTGAGCTTCGAGGCCTCTCTGGCCAGGGCCCGCCGAAGTAAATTTCGAGGAAGTATCGAGCGGGAGCCGTTGTCGTCGTGACCGGACCCACAAAGGCACACATACACAATCACGCCCCCGCTCGAGCGGGAGCCTCGCTTTCACAGAAAATGAGGCCAGCGTCAAGGCGAGAGCGCGCGGGCAACTTTCCGGAGAGCAGCAATAATTATTCTCTAGAAATGCGTATTCAACGACAACGACAACGACAAAAATAACCACAACAGCAACACCAACAACAGCAGCAGCACCAACAACAACAACGACAACGTCAACGACAACGTCAACGACAACGGCAACGACAACAACAACAAAAACAACAACAACAACAACAACAACAACAACAACAACAACAACAACAACAACAACAACCAAAAACCAACAACAGCAGCAGCAACAACAACAACCACAACAACAACAACAACAATAACAACAACAACAACAATGATTGTAAGACTGTTCGCTCCGATCTGCTCACGTGTCAATCAATACGTATATCCCAAACACTCGGTACCCGCCCCCGTCGTCTTCGATCGTACCCCCTTGGAGGTAAATATTCCTTTCCTGCCACGTGTATTTAGTGCAGCCCCGAAAACAAGGGAAGTGCGTACGGGTGGAAGGGGGAGGGAGAAGAATGGAGCACGAGAGAAATTAGCAGGAAGGGGGCAAAAAGCAGAAAATAAGTGGTAGAACCACACGGGCAGATCGGGTTGGCAGACAGATACCGGGCAGGTCGCGAAGCCGGGCTCAGGCGACGAGGTCGAGCAGGCGGGCTGCTGAAGCGTGGGCCCTGCATGAATCGCGAGGAAGTCACGAGCGATAGCGCGATTCCTAAGTAAATCGTGAAAGAAGCCAGCGTGGGCCACGAAGGGCATAACATCCGAGGCCACAGAGGGCAGCGACGTGACCACTGAGGGCAGCACCGGGGCCACGAAGGGCAGCGAGAGGGCCACAGAGGGCGACAGCGGCGCCACGAAGGGCATGCATATGGGGCCACGACGGGCGCGAGCGAGCGGGGGCCACGAAGGGCATTCGTATACGGGCCCCCAAAATAAAGGGCGACAGCGGGGCCAGTGAGGGCAGACAAGGGGCCACGAAGGGCAGCGAGGGGGCCACGAAGGGCGACAGCGGGGCTACGAAGGGCATGCGTATGGGGCCACGACGCTCGCGTGCGATCGGGGGCCACGAATGGCATATAATGCGGGGCCACAAAGGGCAGCGACGGGGCCATTGAGGGCAGCAACGGGGCCACGAAGGGCAGCGAGCGAAGGCGACCGCGGAACCAGTACGGGCAGCGAGGGGCATCGAAGGCGGGCGAAGGGCAGCGAGCGGCGACTGCAGTCATTGACAGGCTGGTCGGGCGGGCAGGCCCCGACGAGCGGGTCGAGCGGGCGGGTCGTTGAAGCGTGCTTGAGCCGCCAGGTAATATGTAGCGGGAGCGCGATTCCTGAGTGTCGAGGATCGGCACCTGAATAAATTGTGAGGCAATATCAAGCGAAACGGTTCGGTCGTAAGTTGCGAGGACGTCCCAAGCGCGAACGCGATTCTGCAATACATTATCAGGAAATATCAAGCGGGAGGCGCGATTCGGTTGCACATTACCAGGAAGTCCCAAGCGAGAGCGCGATTCTTCAATACATTGTGAGGAAGTATCAGGCGGGAGCCGTTGTTCTTGTAAACCGGGGGAGCCAACCACACATTTCGACCCTCAAGACTTTCCCTGATAAAAAAACAAACAGGGTGCGAGCCCTGGGAGGGGCACTTCAATCGAAAAAAAACGCTATGTGCACCGGGCGGGGGGGGTCAACAATGATCACTCTTCAGAGATGAGAGTTCAGCAGCAACAACAGCAGCAACAGCAGCAACAGCAGCAACAGCAGCAACAACTATTTCAAGATTGTTCACATTTACCCGCTCGCGTGCCACTCCACATGTGTGTCCCAGCCCTCGGTGCCAGCCCTCGTCTTCGACCGTGCCCCCCTTGGGGGTGTATCGTCCATACGTTTCATGTGTAGTTGTTGCAGCCCCTGGAAGAAAGGGAAGGGAGGGAGGAGGGAAGGGACAAGAGAGAAGGAGAAAGATGGAGTCCGAGAGAAATTAGCAAGATGACGATTCGGAGCCGGGTCGGACGGGCGGACCCTAACGGGCGGATCGGGCGGATCGCTGAAGCGTCAGTCCTGCCAAAATCGCTTGGGACTCTCGAGCGATAGCGCGACGCCCAAGTGAATCGTGAGGTCCAGAGCGAGAGCGTGATTCAAGAGTGTCGAGAGCGCGGCGTCTCAGTCAACAACTCGATTCCTGGATGAATTGTTGGGAACTCCTGAGCGAGAAATTGATTTTGCAAACGTTGTAAAGAAGTATCAGGCGGGAGCCGCTATTGTTGCAAATCGAGGCTAGCAACTCAGTCTGAGGCCCAAGACGCTCCCTCGTAAAAACCCAGGTGGGAGCCCCAGGACGGGCATTTGAGAAACACATACGCGTGTTACTGGAGGCGGGGATCAATAATAATCTTCTTTCAGAAATGAAGCTTTACGACAACAGCAACAGCAATAACAACAACAATCATTCCCTACCTAGGCTCTGCCTAGAAGGGTTCTTACCCTCTGGGCTTAAAGGGCCGGGCAGTAGAAACAGCCCCGGGCGGTTCCCCCAGTATCCGCCCCGCGGTTCCCCCAGTTACGTCTCCTTAGCTTAGCGTTGCTTATCTCCTTTTAGCTTAGCCTAGCTTAGCTTAGCTTAGCTTAGCTTAGGCTAGGCTAGCCTAGCTTAGCTTAGCTCAGCTCAGCTTTTCTTAGCCTAACCCAGCTGAGCTTATTTTAGCTTAGCCTAGCTCCGCTTAGCTTATCCTAGCGCAGCATTAGCTTAGCATAGCATAGCATAGTATATCATGACATTGCATAGCGCAGCATAACATAACGCAGCATAGCACACCATAGCATAGCATATCATAGCATAGCGCAGCATATCATAGCATAGCATAGCATAGCTTAGCTTCGCACAGCACAGCGCAGCATAGCATAGCATAGCGTAGCCTATAATAGCTTCGCGCAGCATAGCATAGCATAGCATACCGCAGCATATCGCAGCATACCATATCATATCATAGCGCAGCATATCATAGCATAGCATTGCATAACATAGCGCAGCAACGCATTTCAAAAAACAGCCTAGCATATCATAGCATAGCGCAGCATAGCATAGCACATCATGGCATAGCGCAGCATAGCGCAGCATAGCATAGCACAGCATATCATAGATGTAGATGTGGATGTAGGTGTAGTTGTACATGTAGGTGTAGTTGTAGATGTACATGCATGTGTACATGTAGATGTAGATCTAGGTGTAGATGTGGATGTCGGTCTAGATGTAGATGTAGGTATTAAGCTGTACAATTACTACTGTTACTATTACTACTGCTACTACTACTACTACTACTACTACTACGACGACTGCTACTACTACTACTGCTACTATTATTACTACTACTACTACTACTACTACAACGACGATTACTACTACTACTACTGCTACTACTACTACGGCTACTAATACTACTGCTACTACTACTACTGCGACTACTACTACTACTACTACTACTACTACTACTACTACTACTACTACTATTACTACTACTACTACTACTACTATTACGACTACTACGGCTACTACTACTGCTACTACTACTACTACTACTACTACTACTACTACTGCTACTACTACTACTACTACTGCTACTACTACTACTACTACTACTGTTACTACTACTACTACTACTACTGCTACGGCTACTGCTACTACTACTGCTACTACTACTGCTACTACCGCTACTGCTACAACTGCGACGATGAGGAGAAGGAGGAGGACGGCGTTTACCGTTACTACTAATATTGCTCTCCTCGGGGCTCCAACTCCTAGGTAGGATCGCTCTGGGATTTTTTTTAGACGGTTCACTCTTATCCATTCGCGTGCCATTCAATAAATGTATCCCAAACCCTCGATACCCGCCTTCTTCATGGTCTATTGTGCCCCCTGGGGGGTATATCTTTCTTACCTGCAACGTGTATTTCGCGCAGCCCATACAGCAGGGGAGGAGAAGACGGATGGAAGGACGGGACAAGGGAGAAGGAGGAGGATGGAGCACGAGAGAAATTAGCAGGAGGGGGGCCAAGAGCAGACAACACACGGCAGAACCAGACGGGCAGATCGGGCGGGTAAGTAGATCCTAGTGGGCGGGTCGGGAAGGCGGGCGCAAGCGGCCAGGTTGAGTAGGTGGGTTGCTGAAGCGTGCGTCCCGCATAAATCGCGACGTAATTTCGAGCGATAGCGAGATTCCCAAATCAATCTTGAGAAAAGCCAGAGCGTGAGCGTGATTCCTGAGTGTCGGGGGCGCGGCGTCTGAATACATCGCAAGGAATTTCCACGCGAGAGCGCGATTCCTGCAGAAAGTGTGAGGACGTCCTGAGCGAGAGCGCGATTTGGAACTAAATGGAGAGACAGTATCAGGTGGGAGCCGTTGTTGTTGTTGTCGTTGTTGTAGTTCGGGGGTCAAACAAACAATTCTGAGACGCAGAACTTTCCATTACAAAAACAGAGTGCGAGCCTTGGAAGAGCACTTCAGTTGAACAAAAAAATGTGCCCCTGAGGGGGGGATGACCAATAATAACTATTCGGTTGTGAGAGTCCAACAACAACAGTACAGTATAACCACCACCACCACTAACAACAATAACACCAACCACAACCACAACAACAACAATCATTTTCAGACTGTCGTTCCTATCTGCTCGCGTGCAATTCAACACGTGTGCCCCGAATCCTCGGTACCCGTCCTCTTCGTCCTCGATCGCACCCCCTTGGGAGGGAGAAGGATGGAGCACGAGAGAAATTAGCAGAAGGGAAGCTATGAGCAGAAAGGACGTGGCAGAACCGGACGGGCAGATCGGGTGGGCAGACACATAGCGAGCAGGTCGGGAAGGCGGTCCCAGGCGACGAGGTCGAGCAGGCGGGTTGCTGAAGCGTGAGTCCTGCATGAATCGCGAGAAAAAATCTCAAGCGATAGCGCGATTCCAGAAAACATAATGAGAAAGGCCACCGCGAGAGCATGATTCCTGAGTGTGCATGGCGCGGCGTTTGAATAAGTTGTGAGAAATTCCCACTTGAGAGCGCGATTCTGCCAAAACTCGGAGGTCGCATGCGAGAGCGCGATTTTGGATTAAATGGTGAGGAAGTATCCGTCGGGAGCCGTTGTTGCTGTAGTTCGGCGGCTAGGAGGCCAGTCTGAGCCTCAGCGAGCCTCGGGAGGGCCACTTCAACGGGCAGAAAACAAGATGCGCAGGGGGATCAACAATACTTATTCTTGGAGGCCCGGAAATTGGCGCCACCACCAGCACAAGGGGTTTGCCCCCGTGGCAATATTTCGATCACCTGGGAAGCCAGGATATGACCACCATCACCGAGATCGGAATCGTCTGTCCTCGGTGGAGGCGCACCGCCGATCTTGGCGTTGGTGTCAAACTCTAGGCCTGCGATATTCTTCAGACATGAGAGCTCCACAACAGCAAGACGAGCCCGCGCCGCGGAGCCCCACTTCCGCCGCGCACCCGGGGACGGCACAAGAGCGCTCGGCCGCATCACTGTGATAACCCGCTGTCGCTCGGACGTCCATTCCCCATGCATGCTTCATTGTCGTGCGCCTTTTTTTCTCAGCGAGATATTCCACGATGCTCCTCCATGGCCCTCGCCGAGGAACAAATGTACACGTCTGGAGCGATGCCAAGATAAGGAGGAGTCTCATCCCCCTCCTCGCCTCCTCCTCCTCCTCCTCTCGCCTCATTCCCCCTCCCTCGCATTCTTCCCCCTTTTCTTTTTGCGTTCTGCAAACTTCGAGCGAGGCTTGTAGCGTCGTGCAACGTGACTCCGATGGGAAAGCCGAGCCCTGAGATAACCAAGCGCGCCTCACATTAACATCGCGCAACAGAGTACCGATAGGTGAGACGAGAGACTTTTCACCTCCCTCGCCCTCCTTTATCCACGTCTTCCTTCCTACTGGCATGGCCCGTGCCAAAGGAAGCGCTGGCCCGCCCGAAAACAAAAAGGGTGCCCCCCCCACACCCGGCCTGATTCGCTCGTCCTTCAGCTCGCACTGCGCCTTGGAAGGTCGCAGAGGCCTCCTCCCCTTCCTCCCCTCCTCCCCCTCCTCCGGCCATTCGTCTTCGTCACCCCTCATGTTCTCCACCATTTCTCTTTGTACCCCTCCATTTTCTGTGCGTTCTCCTTCCCCTCCTTCGGCTCCAGGTAATCCTCCTCCCCCTCGCCCTCCTCAATGGTCCACGTTGTCTCCCCATCCTGTCCACCGCTTTTCGACCGACCTTCTCCTCTTTTAACTCCTTCTTCTCCTCTGCCTCTATTCCTTATCCTCCCCCCCTTCCCGCGTTCAAAACGTGTCACGCTCTGCCCCGCTTCTCTCCTCCAACTCTTGCTTTGCTTCTTCCTCCCCCTCCCCCCCTCCGCCTCTCTTCCCCCCCCCTACCACCTGCCAAATCTCCTCCGCCTCGTCCTCCTCCTCCAACCCCCTCCTCTCCTCCTCTCTTCCTCCCCCCTCCTCCTCCCTCCTCCTCCTCCACTCCTCCACTACCTCCTCCTCCTCCTCTTCTCTCCTCCTCCCTCCCCCTCCCCCTCCTCCTCCTCCTCCTCCTCCGCCCCTCTCTCCTCCTCCTCCTCCTCCTCCTCCTCCTCCTCCTCCTCCCCCTCCTCCTCCTCCTGCCTCCTCCTCCCCCTCCTCCTCCTCCTCCTCCTCCTCCTCCCTCCCTCCTCCTCCTCCTCCTCCTCCTCCTCCTCCTCCCTTCATCTCCTCCTCCTCCTCCTCCTTCTCCTCCTTCCGCCGAGGCGCTGCTGGCCTCTGACTGACCGATCTGGTCCCCAACCCGCCGTTGGACCGCATCCAGTAGAAAAGATACCTGGCTCCACTCTGCTGGCCGGCCGACCTCCCCTTCTCCACCGACCCTCCTTCACCTCCTCTCTCTGCGGTGGCGAGAGCCAAGCGGGAGAGGAGGGGGGGAACGGGAAGCCCCCGATGGGCTGAAGGAGAAACGGAGCTCTGACACGACACTCTTGGGGGCCGGGCTCTGGACAACCCTCCGAGCATCGGAATCGAATCGGATCGGGCCGGCCGAAGTCGATGCCGAATCGACTCGATCGCTTCGAACTGTATCCCGCCTGGGTGGGCCGTGATCAATGGCGCCGGGGGTCTCGGATCCTCCCCCGGACGCCGCCGCTCCCACCCTCGGCCGGGCAGGCACTCAAAGGGGCTCCAGGCGGAGCCCGCGTGTGCTCGAGCTGCCTGCTGCGGCAGGGGGGCTTCTGCGCAGCGAGTCGCGCCTGCTCCGCTCCGCGGGGGGGGGCCGGGAAGGGCTCGGGACGCTGAGGCCTAGGAATTGAAGATGGGGACGTGGTTTAGGTCGGGCATGTCCCCCTACAGGCGGAGCTTGGACGAAAAAGCCAGACATACACCCCAAAAATGCTCCAAAATTGTCGAAGATGGCCAGGCAGTCGTCCCCAGGGCATTTTTTAACTAGTTTTGAATTGTCCTCCTGCAGAGGGAGAAGCCCGACTCAAGACGTGGTGAGCGTGTCGACGCCGACACGCTGAGCCAAAGTTCTGGGGGCCGCACCACCCCGCTGGCGCCGCCAGTGCGATAGGCGCGCAGCGAGGCAGCGGGTGTGGAGGCATAGTTTCAAGTCGAGCTTGTCCCTCTGCAGGGAGAATTTTGCAAAACAGTAAAACAAACCCTGGGGACGATTGTCTGGCCATGTTCGACGATTTTTGGAACATTTGGGGGATGTGTTTGATTCTGCGTCCAACATGCGCCTGTAGGGGGACATGCCCGACCTAAGCATAGTTGGCGGCGTCCTCACGGGGGTGGCGCGATGGGAGTGGTCTTCTGACAGGACGGGGGGGGGGCTTCTTACAAAGCAAGCGGTTTCTTAGACGCGCTCCCGGTTTCTAGGAAGCCTGGATCAGCTGCCCTGCCCTTCTCAGAAGACCCCTGCCTGACTGGAAGCCCCACGGCCTTCCCAGAAGACCAACCCCCTCACGCCAACCCCTTGTGGGCGCCGCCATCCTCCGCTGCCTCGGTGGGGAAGTGGCGGATGCGAAGTGTTGCCATCAACCCTCGAGGATCAAGCAGGAAGGCATGTGGACGTCTTCTGGCGCAGTTGTTCCATGTTTGGGGCCTTTGCTGGAGCCTCTGGGGGCCTAAGGGATCTCTGGGCATCGCTGTGGACCTCTGGGGTCGGGACCCGGCGCGGAAGCAGCGCGAACCAGCGGCGGACCACCCGAGCTCATCCTGGCCTTGCGATCATTCGTTCTCCTCGTCCTCCTCCTGTTGCAGGAGAGCCCAGAATCGAACTGATAAGTCGGGTCGGCGATCGACATGCATCGGATCGGCGGAAACTGGCAGCCGAGCCAGGAAAAGTCGAATCGGCAGGAATCAGCAGGCCAATATATGCCTCCGACAAGAGAAAGATATTGGAAGACCCGCATCGGAATCCTGGGTCGAACGGGATCGGAATCGGAAGCCATCGGGGTCGCAGCGAATCGAGTCGGAGGCATCGAAGCGAGCCCTGCAGGCGCCCCCCGCCCCAACTCCGTCTGAGCCGCAGCGCCCGCCAGTGCCCGGACATGAGCCGCCGCTGTTCCTCGTGGAAGCGCATGAGGTCCTCGGTGCAGACCAGCCGCCGTTCGGCCTCCGAGGCGGAGCGAGGAGGAGCGAGGAGGAGGAGGACGACGGCGACGGACGCTTCCATCTTAGGATTAAAGTCCGCTCAACGTCAAAACAACGACGACGACGACGAAGCCAACGCGCTTCGGGAGCGAACGAACGAGGGGTCTGCGGAACGTCCGCACAGAGGCTGTGACACTGGTGGCGCACGGGCGCCGGGGCAGACCAGGCAGACACGGAACGACGTGCGACCAAGGGTGCCGCAGTGAGCACAGCGGCGAGCGGCACACGTCAACTGCACCGCACGGCTGGCCGCAGCAGCATCGAGGATGCAGGCGGCAGAAGGCCAGCGCGCTCTGGCCGCGCGCGAGAAAAGGCTGGCCTCCCTAGCTGACCAGGGGGGGCTCCTCAGGGGGGGGGGTAACCCTTCCCACTTGGCTGCGAGCGAGGGGGGAAGGGAGGAGGAGGAGAAGGCCTCCTCGGAAGGCCCGGCGGTCCTTAGGCCCTCTGACTGAGAAGGCCTTCTCCTTCTCCCTTCCCTCAGGTCGGGCATGTCCTCCTACAGGCGGATTTTTGAGGAAAACATAGAATAGTCCACACACACTCAGAAGCAGCCAGAAATAGTCAAACCATCACCCCCAGACTATCTTTCGTCTATTTGCTCATTTCCACGCTCGGCTCGACGCCGAACCACGGGCCTCATCGAGGAAGCCGTGCGCGACAGCACCGCACGTGCCCCCTGCGACGAGCGGCCGCCGGCGGCTCGTGAGCCAGTCCCCGCGTCCTCGGGAGCGAGGCGGGAGCCCGCTTGGGGCGCGGGCCTGCAGCGCAGCCGGCCGCCCCCGCGGCGCGGCTCCGCTTCGGGAGACCGCCCCGCTGCTCGGAGACACACGCACACAGAACCAGCGCACACAACACCAGCGCACACGACCACAGCACCAACGCGCAGTCCTCCTCCTCCTCCTCCTCCTCCTCC